CGAATGACGACGCCACCGATTCCTCCGGCGGTGACGAAGAAAACAAAATTCATTCCAAGTGACATCGATTCAAGAAATTTATTAACGAGGTTAAAATTCAGCCCTATTGTGGTCACAGTGAAAACCGGAATGCCGACTTTTTAGGTATCCGGGAGAGCTGCAAAATCAGGGAATGTTCGACGATTCCAATTACAAAATTCTATACACGGCCGTATTTAATTTTACACAATTGCGTTGTGTCGAACACAGTTGCCACATCAATTTCATTACGTCAATGACAATAATTTTCGTTGATGTTCAACCGTAGAATTAAAATTATTTATAATTGAATTGAAATCTATGAGTTTTGTATATTGAAACTAAAATTAATAGATTTTGATTATATCGAGACTTTTCACTACAAAAAAATAGTATATTTGTAACCAAATTTCGTCCCTAAAGTTCACGTAGCTAACGTAATTCCAACTCTAATTCCATATCTAATGTCATTAGTAATGGAAAAATTGGATTTAGAGACGAAAAAATCTTTGTTACAAAAATAAAATTTTCTTGTAGTGTTTATTAATTTTTTTCTCTAAATAAATATATATTAATTTTGTAATATATTACTTTTTTTTTACACAAATTTATTAAAAAATGATCTATTAGGTTTGTTGGTTCATATTCCATTGAGAGAAAAAAAAAAAAAAAAAAAAAAAATCAAAATCAAAATCAAAAGAGAGCTTAGCTAATTAGTATCTCATTTGTCACTTATAAAAGATACTAAAATATTGTAATAGGTCTTGGATCACATGCTAAAGTGAAAGATTAATTAATAGTAACTATTGATTAAATAAAGACAATTTAGTCCATTTAAACATATTTATTGAATCAATGGTTTTAATTAAACTCAGCAATGCTGAATTATTGAATTAGATTTTAGGATAGTGTATTCATTTGGGATTTTATTGGATTTTAAAAGTCTATAAATTTACGTGGATTTAAAAAGTCAACGGAGTCCATGCAGAGTATAATGGATTTTATTAATTAATTTAGATGGATTTTAATAGATTTCATTGGATTTTTTTTAATGAATTTATATTGATTTTGTAGAATTGTAAAATATATTTTTTTATTGATTTATATAATTGTATAAACTTATGTAAATACAAATTTTACAAATATAATATATTTATTATACATTATTATATTTTATAAAATATAAATAATATTAATAAATAATATATAATTATTAATGATATAGAAATATTATAAAATATATATAATGCTACTATTTTGTATATAATATTTATAATTTTATAATTTTTATTATATTATCATTCAATATATCAATTTACTTTTATGTTTTTTATTAGTTAATATTATTATTCTTATGTAATAAATTTTGTAAAAAATAAATATATAGATGTTTGATCTCTTCACTGTTAATTCCACATGAAATAATATATTATGGGAGATAAAATAATATATTTTTATTAAAATTTGTGCATGGCAAATAGTGTTGATTTAATTTGAAATGATAAAAAAACGAATTCTTTTTATTTATTATATTTTTTTTTAGCATTTCTATCGTTAGTTAGGAAATTGTTCATAAGCATGTTATTCATGAATTATTTGATGGTAAGTGTTCAAATGTACTACGAAGTGCTTTAAAGAGACCACAGTTTAAAAAAAAAAAAAAGATTCCGCAATAGTTGAATCTTGTTTACTTTCGTGACATGATAAAACAAAGGTAATTATAAAATTATCGTAAACTGCTGTTGTCGTAAAAAAATCACCTCCGACGGCTTAATCGGAAAAGTCTACCGGAGCCGGACTCTTTACTAGAGCTGAAAATAACGAGAGTACTCTCCACAAAGTCGGAAATAACGGGACTCTCATTGCAATAAAAAATATGGCTCTGGAGAAACGTAGCCGACGGATCGCAGACAGATGCACAAACATACTTCAGTCGTAAACAAAATCAGGATTCAAAACACAATTAAAATCAAAAACAAAAATACTAGAAACCATTGTCAAAATCTCAAAATTGTAAGACTTCCAGGTACATCCCAAGTTGAATGTGTTGAATGTACTGGAGAAACACGGGTTGGCAGTGTTGTGAATTTTATTCCAGAATCTTTTTGGATTTATCGAACAAACAATGTATATAAAAAATACAAACAATTAATAGTAGCTGAAGTAATTGATTCGAACAAATCCAAGTTAAACTAAACCAAAATCGAAATGAAATTAAACTATATTAATAAAAGACATAAACGGGAATTAGAAAACAAACACAAACAAACAGCCTCAAGTTGAATTAAAGGAATTAAAGCAATCAACGAAGAACACCAAACAATTCTTGAATAGAAATGGAAAAGGGCAGATCTTCTTATTCGGCAGCGAGGTTCTGCCACATATTTTGTGCAAATTGGGTTTAGAGTAAAATAGGTTTGGACAAATGGATTGGGTTATAGGATTAAAGGATTGGGCCGATCTGATAGGCTGAGTTACGGAATGAGCCAACTAATTTTTATTTTGAAAGATTCGTCGGATTAGGTCTCGAACTTGACCCAATATAGTTTACATATTTTGGCCGTGATTTAATCAAATCCCAAAATATGTATTTAGTAGTGTTGCGAATTGATTCCCGGATCCTTCGGATTTATCGAATAAAACCTTGTATACAAAAATACGATAATCAATTAGCGGAAATAAAATTCGAATAAAATCCAAATTATTATACTACCGAAATTGAAATGAAATTGAAATTAAACTAAAAAGGCTAAATTGAAAACTGGGCATCACAATACTAACAAACAGGCCTTAAACCAAGTAAAGGAAATTAAGAATTAAACCAGATTCTTCCCTGTTCGTTGAAATCCAGATTCAACCGAGGTTCAAACTCGATCGACAACGACGATGACGATCCCTTCTCCGACTAATCTCGTCGGACGGCTGGCAGAAGCTCACGGCGGACATCCTCCAGCGGTCGACGAACAGCAATCCTCCGGCACGGCACGGCGCGGCTGGACAGCGACTCCAGGCAGATCCGACTGGCGGCGCTCCGGCAACTCCGAGCGGCGGGACAACGACGGCGGCTTGATCTTCACCGAGACAGACCCGCGGACTGCGGGAGAACTCCGGCGACGACTCCTCTGTTGAATAGCAGCGCCGATCCCTTCTTCCTCTCATCGGACAGCAGCTCCCTCTGCGACATTTTCTCCAAACAAGAACAGAATCGACTCTCCGCAGAAAAGCAGTGGACCTCCTCTGCCACCGAACAGAACTGGAATTCTCGAATCTTTCTTTGATCATTCTTCGATCTTTCACCACCGAGAAGAACATCGACGAAAGGCTCAGACCATGGTGCGAGAATTGTTGAGGTAACCACACCTCAAGATGGAGGTCGGCTCTTCACTCCAAGCCTCAACGCTCACCGGAATCAGCCATCGAAAAGGGTCCCGAACCTCACCAAAAATTTACTGGAATCCTCTCGCGGTTCCTTCCCTCTCCATCTCGATCTCACCCCCTTTCACTCTCTAATTCTCGGTTCTGGTTTTTTTTGGTGTATCTAACTTTTCACACCGCTTCTAAATTCGCCCCTAAATCCACTCTTTTATATCTATCAAAACTAACTTATTATAACCAACTCACTTACGGTTATAACAAATTTGTTTAGGGTAAGGAGGGTTTGGGTAAATAGATTTGGGTTAAAGAGTTTGGACCGATCCAGTGGATCGGGCTTTAGAGTGGGCCAACTAATTATTTATCGAGTGACTTGTCGGATTAAGCCTTGAACGGCCAAAATTCCCAATAAATAGATATAGATTTACATTTCACTAATGGATTTCATCATTGTCTTTTTTTCCCTCGCTGTCTCCACGAACAAACGTTAATGCAGATAAAATATCACATATAATACATAAATCCTAACATGCACTTAGATAGGTCACATAACAACCTAGCACCATGTAATTATTCGTCCATCTCACATCATTTGTCATTTTTTTTTTGGAAATATAATATTTTAAAATTCATAGTTTATAATTTTTTTATTTAAATTAAATTATTTGATCGTCTTAATCTTAATCTATAATTATTTTTATTAAAATATTTTAATTACTTACTAATTACACAATAAATAAAACTCGTGGCTCAGCTAAATGGGAGGTGACAAATTAGTTAGGACAGATGAAGTATCTTTTATCGGCTCACAAAAAATCAACAATTATATTAAAAATATTATTTTTTTTATATTATCACCACAATTTTTAATACATAACATAAAAAAAATATTTACATAAAACACAAAATAAACAAACATATGATATAAATACATTAATAAAATATATACTTCCTCCGTCTCAAAAGAGTTGTTATGTTTTTCTATTTTCGTTAGTTCCAAAATAATTATCTCGTTTTCTTATTTAGTAATCGTGGTCCTCACTTTATAACAAAATTATTCATATTTTTTTTTCAAATTATCTATAATTATTACTCTAACTTATTTTTATAAATTATTCAAAAAATATTTTTATATTCTATTTTATACTCACATTCAATTAAATATTATTATTCCTTAATTCTCTTGCAACTTCAAACAAAACGTCTCTTCTTTTTGGGAATGGGGTAGTATATTATTATGTCATATATAAAAATATTACTGTCATTTTTCATTTTTGTCCGTCTCAAAACAAAGTTACTATTTCTAATTATACTACTTATCTAATATAATAAATATCCTTCCAACTTACATTGTATTATAGAAATATCATTACTTTTATATTACTAATACTATAAGAGTATTTTTTTCTTTTTTATTTTAATCTATTATAATATTAATATTAAAAAATTTACGTGCAAAAGATAAACGATAACCTTGCGGAAAGACGGATAACGTGTTATTAACACATTCTTTTAGTACTTAGATATAAAAATACAAAATAAAAAAAGAAAAAAAAATCACACGTACACACACAACAAAACAAACATTAATATTTATTATCCTCTTGGACCTTCCTTCCACCCACTCTCCAGATTCCTAACACTAAACTACAAAATTTTAGCTATGGAGAATCCTTCCCCTTTCTCAAATCACTCTCAACTATGGCCGCCGCCGCCGCTTCTTCGATGCTCTCCTGCGCTCCTTTTTCCCCGCCCAAACACAATTGCCTTTCTCCTCACCTTCCATCCACCCGTTCCTCTTTTCGCCCTAACCCTAACCCTAACCCTAACAGGGGAGGAGCTGGAGCGTCGCCGCTCAAATTCAATCCCAAATTCCGATTGAGGCCGGAGAAATTCGCGCTTCATGTCGCGGAATCCAAAGCCGAAGCCGAAGCCGAAGCCGGTCGACGTCCTCCGGCGGGGGTGGGGGAGGACTCGGCGGAATTCGTTCTGTCGGAGCAGAGGATCTCGTCATGGTTGTACTTCGGGGGAATATTGGGGGTGGTGCTGGGCGTGCTGAACGTGGCGTGGATCGACAACTCCACCGGATTCGGCCATGTCTACGTCGATGCCCTTTCCGGCGGAAGCCCCGAGGTGTGTGTTTCTTACTACCTTGCTACTCCAATACATATATCTAAATAAAAAATGGTTAAAAATAATTAAAAAAAAAAATTAATATGATTTGTTAGAAAATATAAGGTGTGTTCGTTTGTAAAATTTGTGCAAAATCTTCCTATTCATCCAATTTTTTCCCCTAAAAGCATCATATCAAACATTTATTTTTTATTTTTTATATTATACTAAAAAATCAATTTTACATTCAAAACATCACATCAATACTTATTTATATCATATCGTACAACTATTCAAATTCAAAATTTTTACTATTCAAATCCCAACTCAAAATCCAAACCCCCAAACAAACACACCCTATAAAATACTCCCTCCGCTGTCATTTATGTTTGCATGTACATTTTTTAATATTAATATTATACTGATATTAATATTATTTAATATAAAAATAGTGGCATTTGTGTAATATAGTGTAAATTGGATGGATATTTAGGGTGTGTTTGTGTGGGGTATTGGATTTTAATCCTACTATTCATCCCATTTTTCCTCCCAAAACATGAAATCAAATACCTATTTTTCAATTTTTATATTATGCTAAAAATCAATTTTACATTCAAAACATCACATCAACACCTATTTATATAACATCATACAACTATTCAAATTCAAAATTTTTACTATTCAAATCTCAGTTCAAAATCCAAACCCTCGAACAAACACACCCTTATTATATTAGATAGGTATTAGATATGTAGTACAATTACTAAATTAAGAAATGATAACCTTGTTTTGGGACGGACGAAAATGAAAAATGGCAATCTTTCAATGAGACGGGAGAGTAAGTCTATCTTTTATAACAAAGAAATATTCTCTCCGTCCATTCAAATTAGTCTATTTAGGCCCGGCACGTGAATTAAGAAAAATAAATATTTTATTGAAAAAGTAATAGATAGTTGGCGGTATTTTTGAAAATTTAGTTATAAAAGAAAATAAACGAAGAGAGAGAATTAATAAAGCAGTGCTATTTGTTGTAAATAAATGTTGAATGAAAGATAATAATTAAATATTAATTTGTTGATTTTGCCCAAAATTAATAATTGGATAAATTTAGTCGACAGACTATAAAAAAAAGTGAGAATAAATTTGATGGAGAGAGAGAATAAAAAGTACTATGTTCTTTCAATAAAAAAATAAGTACATATTTTTTTTCAGAAATATTAATATATAACACATATTTATTATTTTTATATTTTTTACACATTTTCTTATATCTCATATAAAAAATACACGTTCAAATTATCTTACAAAACAAACACACAAGTCTTCTCTTTTAAAATGGGTATAAATTAGTTTTATATTAATTAATACTATCTCCGTCCCAGAACTATAATCTGGGTTGTGTTTGGTACGGTATGTAAAGATTATTATATTATATTAGCAGTGGATAAAAAGTATGGATAAAAGACTTTTTTGCCCTTGTGAGTGTATTAATATAAAAAGTAGTGGTAATTATATAATATTAATGAAAAAGTAAAGGTAATTTTATAGTGATATGATTATTTATGGAAACGAAACTATTATTTTGGGACAGATAGAAATAGTAAACAAGACTATTGTATTGGGACGGAGAGAGTATATACATTAATTTGGATATGAATTTTGAAAGTTTTAGAATTTAAAAAAAAAAAAATTAAGAAAAAATAAATATTTGATAGGATGTCAAAAGTGATTCTCTAGCATATGTACATAAACCTAACCGGACCTACGGATGTGTTAGTTTGGGGGATTTTGATTTTGGATTTGAATTGACTTGTAAAAAATTTAAATTTAAATAATTATAAAATACTAAGATATAAATAACTATTGATATAATATTTTAATATAAATAATTATAAAGTGAAAAATAAAAATTTGATTTGATACTTTTGAAAAATAATAATAATAAAATCGGAAAAATAGTAAAGATCCTCCAAACAAGACATAAATGATATGTAATATCTTGAGTGTATTTTGCATTGCATGCATATACTTGCTTGTTGTCTGTCTAAGCTCATTTCTTAGCACAATTTTGCATATATTATGTAGTTCTTGATGTTTAAGCAAGCTCATTTTCTTTTTGGGCCCAAGTCTATTTTTTTAAAACGTAAAAATTTGCTACCGCTATCTGAAAGTGCGCATTTTGTAAACTCCCGGCCGAATTTAATACACTGCAAACTAGGCTCGACAAAGCAAGTCACATTAGGCGAACCATGTATGACAGGTAGACCTTGAGACGTCGGAGTTTAAACTCATGATCGTAACCGGTTACAAATCTCTTACGGAAGAAGCCCAAGTCTATTTTTATTCAACTAACGGGATGACGATGATGTGTTTATGTCGTTGTTTTCCGCACGCACAGGTTACCATGCTGCTTCTTATTTTGGTATTCGGCTTAGTTCATAGCGGGTTGGCTAGTCTAAGGGATGTGGGCGAGAAACTAGTGGGAGAGCGAGCATTTCGTGTATTGTTTGCCGCAGTATCTCTACCCTTAGCCGTTACCACCGTCGTGAGCTCCTCCTCACAATGTTAATGTTGCAGTTCTTTTCTTCGATGTAATGTTTGTTTGTTTGTATTGACGATGATGGATGTTTCGATGATGCAGGTGTATTTCATCAACCATAGATACGACGGCATGCAGCTGTGGCAGCTTCAAGGCGTTGCCGGGTTGCACCAATTTATTTGGTTCGCAAACTTCGTCTCTTTCTTCTTCCTCTACCCGTCCACGTTCAACCTGTTGGAAGTTGCCGCAGTCGATAAGCCAAAAATGCATCTGTGGGAGACGGGAATAATCAGAATTACGCGCCATCCGCAGGTAGACTTCTTCGTTTCTCATTCTAGGGGTGAGCATTCGGTTTTTCGATTCGAACAAAATCCGAATCGATCCGAAAATCCGCAATTTTTGAAAAAATCAATCCGAACCAAAATTTGAAATCCAAGCCAAACCAAAAAAAAAATCCGAAATTCTAGATATTTTTATTTGTTTTTCTAATTTGTAAATTTCTTTTATATTTTATTATTATTTTATAATATTAAATATATATAATATATAAAAATTATATTAAAATATAATTAATAATTTTGAGTTTTTTTATATTAAAATATGATATTTTCTAATAAAATATTACATATATATAATAAAAAAATATATTAAAATCTTATATTTTGAATTTCAAATTGATTCGGATTTTAAGTATACCGATCCAAAAATCTAAAATTTTTAAAAAATTCAATCCGAACCGATCCAAAAATCTGAACCAAATTTTAAATTTCAATTTGGTTTGAATCGGATTTTTTAATTTCGAATATTTTGCTCACCCCTATCTCATTCAGTCATCGGTTGGTTCGGTTTTCTCAATTTCTTTTCTTTCCAGATGGTCGGACAAGTGATTTGGTGCCTTGCACACACACTCTGGATTGGTAACTCAGTCGCAGTGGCAGCATCCGTAGGCCTAATTGCGCACCATCTGTTCGGCGTCTGGAACGGCGATCGACGGCTGGCCATACGCCACGGCGAAGCTTTCGAAATCGTCAAGAGCAGGACGAGTGTTGTCCCCTTTGCCGCCATCTTTGAGGGCCGTCAGAAGCTGCCGGATGACTACCTGAAAGAATTCCTGCGGCTGCCGTATCTTGCAATAACGGTGTTGACATTAGGAGCGTATTTCGCTCACCCGCTCATGCAGGCTGCTAGCTTCCGACTCCATTGGTAAAAAGATGACGACCGAATATTCGTACAGCAGATACATGTGTGATTCATACAAAGATTCGGAGAATTCAACTCGGCGCTGCAATAAAATCTTCAAATCCGGCATTCACCATTGAACCTGCAAGTAAATTAAGCGACAACGTAATCAAAAGGGCAAAGGACGACAAGTCTTCAAATGAATTATGTACTAAGCTATGCATTAAGTCGAAAAAGAGATAGACTATCATGCAAACGGTACAAATTTTCAAATAATACCATAACATATGCTCATACAACACACCCTGTTAATATAAAAATACAATATATGCTAAAATCAATAATAGTACGTGTTGTATGAACTATTGTTATGCGTGGTCAGTTCATGTGGTACATTTGTATTATTTTAACATAAATTGTGTATTGTCTATCATCGTATCATGTGTTGTGTACCGTAACATGATGTGTTGTCAAGCACACTATGCACAATTACGTAATCCAGCACAGCACAATAATTGCAGCCGACGAAAGATCTGTAGCATGTATTTAATTAGAAAACGGTTTCTCCGGCCTCAGCATTGCATCTTCATCGTAAGCATAGGCATTCTTTCTATTGTTCAACAACACTAAGAGGTTTACGAAAGTGTATGAATGTAAGGTTGTTGTCTCAAATTCATGCCGTGCACCTGCAGTTTCGGTTGTTCGGATGCTTCAGTCGCTGATTGTGCAACTGGAAGTCAACTGGAGCTCCTCCTAAACTGACTAATCAGCTGAAATGAAAACGCGAACAAAATTCAGCGAGTCAAATTTGAACATGACGAGTGATGCAGTAATGCTAAGAGCTAGCTCGAATTTCTGATTAATATTATGTTAAATGAAAACAAAGATCGAAGAATCGTAGAATTGGAGCACAGCCAAAAAAATCATATACTTTCCATAGAGTTGGAGAAACATAAAACTAATACCGACTCACCAACATCGGATACTGCAAAATCCAGCCAAGTACCGGAATCTGATAAAGAAACGCCTTGATTGATGGCCAGAAACCGCTGCAAGGCAAATGGCATAAACTACAGTTAAGAACAGAGCATTTGAATATAAAAAGCACACGAATGTGCATTATCAATGGTAAACACTGAGAAGAATGATAGAAACTATTTGTGCTCGCTTACCTGAAAAGGACAAAGCAGCCATAAATTTCCACTAGTATGCCAACTACTGGCCATCGAACGAAGATAAAGAACAAACCAACAAGAAATGAGACTGTTCCCTGAAGAATAGCCACATAATTTGCTTTAACATCCAATTTCTGAAAATTTTGCTTCCAATATATTAAATAAGCTGATAAATCAACGTACAAAAGTATGACAATGTACGCAGCATATTAATAGGCAGATTCGTCCATGAGAGAAATAAAAAAGAAAATTTTCACCTTGAATGAGAGACGAAATAGCTATACAATTCGAATCTAAAGAATACTGTTTCCGACAATTAATATCAACAAAAAGAACGAACCACACAGCATTTCAGGGCAATTTAGTCAGGCAGCAGTAATGAACAAACCATCTTAAATAAACATCAAGGAACAAGTTCTCAAACCCACATAGAATTCTTCAATACATGTGGAAACCTAATGAGAGAAGGAAATATTAGACAAGAACTGTACAACATCTCAGGGCAACGTTTACCTCTCCATCTAGTAATAAACAAACCGTTTAACATAAACTAAAGAAACAAGTTCGTAAACAGCATCGTAGAATTCGCAGTAAACATGTGGAAACCCAAAAATGAAAGGGAAATGAAGGCGTCTATTATATAGCCGATTACTTGTAAAACTGAACACAATGGGAACAACCATTTCCTATTTCTAATGTTAGTACCTTATAGTTCCTTCGGTTTGTGAAGAGCTGCAACATGGATCTCCATCCCAGTAAAATTGCTACACCAGATAGCCAAAATATCTATCGGAAACGGAAAAAGAGAGCGAGACATCAGATAAGATGCATGATGTTAGAAACTAGAATTCCATATAATTATAGCAGAATAGTATTTCTAATTAGAAAGTCCAAATTAATGAGTATCATGATTTAATAGCTGCAATATTTTCATTCCTATGTTACAAAGATTTTGGTTTTCAGTACTTTCTCTACTGGGGAGTTGCAAAAATCACATTGCAGTTTCCAATACAAGAAAAGAAAAGGCTAACATAAAGGACAACAATGCAAGACAATTCTTACATTTCCAAGTGCTAGTAAACCTCTGTCGAAAAACAAAATTATGGCAAGAAAGGTGAAGAATATGCCAAATCCAATGAGACCCAGGCCAACCTCTGCAAGTATACATCAAGAATATAATAGTTAGATATTGATGCAGACGTTAGATATCGAATGCAGTATGTAGATAAATAGCGGGAAATATTGTTACATTACCCCAAGATAAAATAGAAGAAAATGTATCCTCACAAACCAAATAGATATGAGTATGGGTATAGATATAGATACAGATATAAATCTAACAATCTTACACTCCATCCTCAAGTTGGAGCAAGTCATACGATCCAAGCTTATTGAAAATGGACTCGGATCTAGAACCTCAGAGCTTTCATAAATATGTCTTGCAAATTGATCATTTGAGGGCACATATTTAGTATCTATAGATCAAGACAACACTTTCTCCCTGATGAAGTGACAGTCTATTTCAATATGATTTATTCATTCATAATTTCATCACAGAACTTGATTCAAAAAGTAATTGTTTAACCCAAACAAGCTCACATGTAACTAAGGCTATACCACGATATTCAGCCTCAGCACTAGAACGTGCAACCACATTTTGTTCTTTACTTTTCTATGACACCAAATTACCTCCAACAAACACTCAATAACCAGAGGTAAAACGTCTATTGGTTAAAAACTCTGCCCAATCAATATCTAAATATCCAACAATTTTAAAGTGACCATAATTGGTATAAAGTAAACCTTTTTTCGGGAGAGCCTTTAATATGCCGCAAATACGTATAAGTTCCTTCTCATGAAAGTCACAACTGACTCACTACACTTGTACAAATGATATATTTGGTTGGGTGAAAATAAGATAATTGAGCTTTCCAACCAGTCTTCTATGTTACCGTGGTTAGAGGCGCCGGTCTGTTGGGAGTTGGATTGTGACGTTGGTTGGATGAATAGAAGACTCATGTTGAAATAGGAGAAAAATTAGAGTTTTGGTTAGAATAGGGTTTGAGAGGAGGCGGCGGAAGCAGTGACTCGCAGCAACGGCTAGAAGATAGAAAAGTTTTACTTAAACTCTAATTGGCTTTGATACATATAGAGAAATACGGGGAAATATTTACATTATTTTAAGAAAAAAAAAATAGAAGGATATATATATCGGTATTAAGAAATTTATCCTAACAAACTTAATAAATATGAATATGAATGATATAAATATGAATCTAACAAATTTAACACAGCAACTATCAGTAGGAAAGCATCCCGACTACCGAAATTCCAAAGTGTTTCTCATGATAAACTAAAGATAGAAACTGCGTATATCATCATGCTTGTGGCATCCTCAAGACCAATTGCAAAATTTTGAAACTAAAATGGCAGGTAAAAGATTCAAGTAGATGATTGACTAATGAACTCTATCCATGTATGAATCGATATTTTTTTACATTAAGCTGCAGAAATGACAAATTCTACACCATAAAGTTAACCATTATAATATCCACACACCAATTCAAGACCAAATAAATTAATGAGATAGACTGTTTAAAGCTAATCCTTATTTCCTTAGAACACCAACATCTACGTAGTACGTATTAGGTAGATATAGATGCACGTAGACCCTTCATACATATACCTGAAAACCTATAAAAGCATCTAGGAATAAGTTCATCGACCAACTATGTTGCTCAATTGGCACAAAATAACATTCAGCATACACCTCATGCATTGAAACATAGCAAATCCCGACTTTCCTAATTTGTAAACTGATTACAAAAATTGAATGAAAGACACCACACCACAAACAACGGGAACAGTTAGGGTGCTGATTTGAAAATTCAGTACCGACACTCGTAATATATATAAACAGCACACAATCTTATTATACACGGCACATGTTGTATAGTAAAAACGTGTTGTTGGTTTATAATTATAAGTGTGTTGTATAACAGTACGTGGTGTGCTGAAATCAACGATTATTTATGTTGTATAAAACTACAGCTAGTGTTGTATTTGTGTTGTTGGTTCATAATTACAAGTGCGTTGTATGACGGTATGTGGTATGCTGAAATCAACTAATTTTTGTATTGTATAAGACTATAGCATGGATTGTTAGTTCATGGGTTGTATTTGTATTATATGAATGCATATGATGTGCTCCCTGTAGTAATACCGTACGTTGTCTGATAGCACACAATGTGCTCCTATGTGTTGTCAGCACGGTGCTGAATCTTAGCACCGTATACGCCGCCACAAACAACGCTAATAAAGACAGATATGATTATCAAAAGTAGTTTCATGGATGTGAAATGTACTTTGCCCCAATCACAAGATCAAATTCATTTCATCCTCGTAATTCTTAACCCAAGTCCCAATAACATAATTAAATTATACAAATTTATTCCACTTTGATCTTCACCTTTGTGTTTTTGAACCTGTTTTGTTACTTCCAATGCAAATTTACAGCAAAATAATTTTTTCACCTAAACATCAGTACATCAAATGAATGGCTATTTCAACGTCGCATCTAAAACCTATCTTTGCAATCGAAAACATAGTGGACAAACATGTAAGATCCAAATACTGTATTTTATTCAAGAAATTTCAAATCCAAAACAGCCAAGAACATCCAAACAAACAAACAAATAAACACCGATTTTCTAATATACTAAATAAATAAAGTAACAATAAGCAGCATCAATATAGTTATTGCGAATAATTCAAAAAGGTTCCACTCACCATTCACAACGAATTTAAGTATAAATTCAAGGATCTTATTCATCCGATACCAAAGTAAAGGAAACAAGAACAAATCCAACTACTGAATAAATTGCAGGCTTTCCACATACCTACTTTGCCCTAATATCAAACAAAACAAAAAATAGCAATATGTAGAACAAACACGGACACTGCTGAGGAAATCAAAATCACTCACTTTTCTGTTCGTCCAATTCATACGGCATCTTGCGCAGCCAATCCAACCAAATCCAAGGTTCCTTAGCCGCAAACAAATATTTGAATCCAAAACAAAGGAATCGCAAAGGTCACCAGATGACAACCCCAAAGCAAGACCAGTGATTTGAAGCGACTTAGCGCAATTGAACACAGGATTTGAATGAGAGTTGATAAAAGAGGCGAAGGGCCGATTTTGGTCCTAAATTATAAATGTAAGCCCATCATAATTAGACCCAATTTATAAATTTGATTTTATTATTAACTCATGAAATGTTGATTGATTTTGATTTTAAATTGAACTGGAACATAATTATTTTAATGAAAATCAATTTAAATATACGTTTAATTCTCCTCAAAATCCCTATTTCGCAAATTATTTTTCTTTTCTCATCAGTCCCGTTTATATATTTGTTTCTTTTAATTTTTTATTTATTCCTCGTAATTCTCTGTTTATAATTTTACACACTTTCATCTCTAAATTTTCAATATTGCCCTCAAAATAATATTTTAAATTTTATATACCTAATGTAACTCAAAACTCTTAATTTGTGTAACCAATGATCAATTTTATTATTTCCTAAAATGACGACCAACGATACAGAATGTTCGAAGTACATGTTCATTAATTTATTTATATTTTTATTCAATCAAAAAATAATATTCTTTATAAATATTTTGTATTAAAATTTAATAGTTGTGAACATTTAAATATATATATATATATATAATTTACTTGTAAGTATTTATATATATAATTAATCTACTTATAGTTTAACAGTATTTGTAAAATTGAGTATCGCATACATTGATATTTTCTATAAATATTTTGTAGTATTATTTAAGGGTTGCAAATATATATATATATTTTATAATTATTTACTTTTCATATTATTATCTATCTACTTATTTGTTTATTTTTAATGGTAAAAAGTGAAATTATATGGTAGAAATTAAGAATTATATATGAAGATAAAAAAAATAAATAAATAAATAAAATAAAAATTGAAGTTAATAATAATAATAATAATAATAATAATAATAATAATAATAAGGGTATTGCAGGAATTTTAAGTGAATAAGGAGTAAACAAGAATAAATTAATAAGAATATGAAGTAAAGGAGAAAAATTTAATGTATAGAGAGTAAATAAGAAATTAAATTTTAGAATTAGGGAGTTTAATAAAATTACCGTTAAATATATTCTAAATATTTTAAAGATATTTTTTCATACATATTTAACAAATATTGATTTATAAAAGATAGGAAGAATTTTTTAGTGTTATTAAGTGAACTATTTTTATAAATATTATTAAAATTTTTAAAATGTTAATAGATATATAATAACTTATATATTTTATTCACTTAAAATAAAAAGTCAACAATTCAATATAAAATATTATATTTTATATTGTCAATGTAGTTTTGCATATCTCATATAAAAAAAAATAAAAAAATATATCAATCTAACAGTATAAAATGAACAAATTTTAAATTTTTAAATATATTAAAAAATGAATATAAGAAATTGTAAAAGTATCTCATTTTTTAAAAGTCAAGATTGAAAGTATAGTGTCAACAGCCAAATTTAAAAACAATTAACTAAACATTGCCGAAAATAGTTAAGATGGTTCGAGTATTCTCTTTGAATTTTTATTTAGGGTGTGTTTGTTTGGGGATTGGATTTTCAATTTATTATTCTTTTTATTTTTTTCCCCAAAAACATCAAATCAAACACCTATTTTTCATTTTTTTATATTATACTAAAAATCAATTTTACATTCAAAACATCACATCAACACCTGTTTACATTACATCATACAGCTATTCAAATTCAAAATTTTTACTGTTCAAATCCCAACTCAAAATCCAAACCCCCAAACAAACACACCCTACATGAGTTTTTTTATAAGAATTTGTTTTTTCAATTTTTTTTCTTTTACATGAGTTTCAATATACACAATACTACATCCTTGGTCACGGTAAACACGAAAATTTAGAATAAGTATAACTAATAAATAATTAAGAATGTATTAGTGAAAACAATTAATCTATAATATAAATTATTATAGATAAGATAACTAATTAGTTTAATTAAAATTAAAAAATTTTAAAATTAGAAAATTTAAAAGAAGATTAAAATGGGTAATCATTTTCCAAAAAAGGAAAGTGACATGAGATGTGGGACGGAAAGAAAAGGCAACATGGACATGGTAAGTGAGACGGATGGAGTATATATTTTATCATTTTATAAAAAATTAATATTCGGTATAAAGTATTAATTATATACTCCCTCCGTCTCATAACTATAGTCTGGTAGTGGGTAAAAAGTATGGATATAAAACTTTTTTGTCCTTGTGAATGTATTAGTGTAAAAAGTAGTGGCAATTGTGTCATAATAATAAAAAAGTAATAGTAGTTTTATAGTGATATGATTATTTATGAAAATAAAACTATTGTTTTGAGACGCACAAAAATGATAAATATAACTATTGTACTGGGACAAAGAGAGTATAATATACACGATTTTTAATATTTTACATTAAAAAAAAATACGTCAAATCAAAAAATTAAATAAACACATTCAAATTCAATATAAAAAGAATAGGGAGGGATCCTCGGTCGAGGATTAGAGCAACAACAATAGTCCTCTTCAAAAAAAGCCTTCATGTACTAATATGTCCACTCTGATTTCCAAACGTCGCCGGATGGAGGAAATAACACGAAGTTAAATTATGCAAGGCTCATTTTATTTTACATATATTGAATTAAAAATTTAATTGTGGGTTAAATTTAACTATTTGGACTATCATTAAATTAAGTCTATATTAAGTGATCGGGCGTGCAGCATCCATTAATAAAATTAACGACAGAAATCCTAGCGATTTTCTGACGAGGGGTTGCGTCATAGGCTTGAAGAACACAATATCCTCAATTAATTTGTAGATCCGAAATTCGACAGCGCTAATGAAATCAGATCAGATTTAATTGTTTTATTTTTATATCTCAATTATTTCAATACAATGCGTAATTCCTGAGTATCAGAGGGTTTAATCAAAATTAATTAATTAAAATAAAATTGAATATATATTGTTGAGATATTTTAGATATTCATATATTAGATATTATAGGCAATACAAAACAGTTGATGATCAATAAGACAATCTCATTATTTTCCTCCAAAATTTCTAACATGGTAGATATAGTCTATTTTCCTCATGTCGTAGATATAGCCTACCAACCCGTGTTTCTCCGGGTACATTCAATGCTTGTCTGTCGTACAATCAGAAACCTGTCTGTTGCTTGTCTGTCGTACAATCAGAAACCTGTCTGCGATCTGCCATATATCCATCTGCCATATGTCCGCTGCTTGTCTGATGTCTGCGTCCGATCTGAAACCTGTCTGCGATCTGCTATCTGTTTGTTGTTTGCGTGCGATCTGAAACTTGTCTGCGATCTTCTTTCTGTCTGTGCTTGTCTATTGCATGCGTGCGATCTGTTTGGTGTTTCAGATCTATGTCGTTTTCGGCTCCGGTAGAGTCATGTCGTTTTTCGGCTCCGGTTGAGTCATCTTGTTTACGGCTCGTTTTCAGCTCCGGTGGAGTCCTGTCATTTTTTGCTCCATGGAGTCATATCGTTTTCGGCTCCAGTGGAGTCCTGTCGTTTTTTACTCCGGTGGAGTCATCTCGTTTTCTGCTCAAGTGGAGTCGTGTCGTTTTCGGCTCCGGTGGAGTCATGTCGTTTTCGGCTCCGGTTAAGTCATGTCGTTTTCGGCTCCAGTGGAGTCATGTCGTTTTCGGCTCCGGTTAAGTCATGTCGTTTTCGGCTCCAGTGGAGTCATGTCGTTTTAGGCTCCGGTGGAGTCATCTCGTTTTTTACTTCAGTGGATTCATGTCGTTTTTGGCTCCGATGGAGTCATCTCGTTTTTTGTCTCTGGTGGAGTCATCTTATTTTCGGCAACAGTAGAGTCATCTCGTTTTCGGCTCTAGTGGAATCATCTCGTTTTTTGTTCATATGGAGAGTCATCTCGTTTTCAACTCCGTTGAAGAGTCATCTCATTTTCGGCTCCGGTGGAGTCATCTCGTTTTCGGCTCCGTGGAGTCATCTCGTTTCTGGTTCCAATGGAAAGTGAACTATTATTTTTATTTTTGTTTTCTTTTTGGCGTTTATATTCAAATTTCTTATTAAACTAAAGTTGGTTTCTGTTATACCACTTGAGTTTGAGGGGGATGTTGAGATATTTTAGATATTCAGTTTTAGATTTAGTAGATTTATATCTAAATTTGATCTTATTCATATATTAGATTACTTAGATTTGAAGCAATACAAAATAGTTGATGATCAATAAAAACAATCTCATTATTTTCCCTCAATATTTCTAAAATCTTCTAGCATGCGTGTATATTCCATTAATGCCCAGCAATGGGAATTTGCAATTAATGGTTGATACATATATATTGCATAAATTGGATTAGAATAATTTGTATGTGTTTATGTATGCAATATTTTAAAATATTTGCATGTAAAGTGTTTTGTTTGGAGGATTTTTCAAGATTTCTATTGTTGAACCATTTTTTAAAAAAAAAAAAATATAAAATCAAACACTTATTTTTTATATTATAATAAAAATTAATTTTGCATTCAAAATATTACATCAACATTTGTTTATATCACGTCACAGAACTATTCCAATTCAAAATTTTTACTATTCAAATCTCAACTCAAAATTCAAACCCCAAACAAACGCACCAAGGAGGAGACCTAATAAGATATGTCATGCTCCATGATTGGTGTATGATTAGAACTTCAGTAATGCATAATTTTGCGGCAATTAGTAAATATATGTTCTTTTTTTTTTAGACATCCTACACACTCACACTCCCGACGGGAATTTCACCCTCAAGCGAGGGATGTCTCACCACTTGATCTACAAGAGTTTGACTAGTAAATATATGTTCTTGAAATCTAAGGGTTGTGTTTCTTTAGAGGGTTTTGGGGGAATTTGGATTTGGATATGGTTTTTATTTAAATTTTAGGATAGATTTGAATTTCGTTGTTTCTTTTGTGTTTGGGTTTGATTGGGGTTTTGGGAGTTTTGATGGGTATTGATTTGATAGATAATTAATAAAATAATATAAATGTGTATTAAATGTAATTGATAAAATTAACAGTAC